TATCTCTCATAAGTATAGATGCAAAAATTCTTAGCAAAATTTTGGACAATAGAGTTCAATGGTACATTAAAAAAAAGTAATCCATCATAAGTAAGTGGAATTCATAACAAGTATTTAAGGATGGTTCACCATAAGAAAAATAGTAACCACATTAATAAAGCAAGGAACAAGGACCAGAGTGGGCCTTTGACACAATCCAATACACTTTCCTAAATGAAACACATAGCAAAACAGTGATAAAAAAGAATGTCCTCAACATAATGAAAAGTATATATGCTAACATCATTCTCAATGGAGAAAGACCTTGTGAACAGGGACTAGGCAACGATGCCCACTTTCACCAATCCTTTTGAGAAGTTCTTGCTAGGGCAGTATAACAAGAAAAGGAAATAAGCATCCAGATAAGGAAAGAAGTTGTATAATTGTCACTATATGCAGATGGTATAATAGTGTTCCCAGAAAATCAAAAGGACTCAACAAAAAAAACCTGTTAGACCTAGTAGACCAATTTTATAGTAGGAGGATACAAGATCAATATACAAAAATCAGTGGGATTCCTCTACTTTAACAAAGGAGACACAGAAAGGAAACTAAGAAAGCAATACTATTTACAATAGCCAAGCACAAATTGAGATACTTGGGAGTAAACCTAGCTAGAGACATAAAAGACCTTTATAAAGAAAACTACAAAACACTACTGTGAGCAACAATAAGAGACCTAAATAAGGGAAAGTGTTTCCTGCTCATGGATAGAAAGGCTGAATATAGTGAAAATGACAGTCTTACTAAAAGCAATCTGTAGGTTTAATGCAATCCCAATACAGATACCAAATTCCTTTTTAAAGAGATAGAAAAGGCAATTGGCAAATATATTTGGAAAAGGAAGAGATCCAAAAATAAGCAAAGCACTTCTGAAAAACAAGAATGAAGTGGGAAGCATTGCACTCCCTGATCTCAAAACCTCCTACATGGCTGTAATGACCAAAACAACATAGTACCAGTACAGTGGTAGACACATAGAGAACCCTGAGATAACCCGTCTACCTATGATTAACTGGTATTTGACAAGGAAACAAAGCCTATCAAATGGGGAAACGAGAACCTCTTCAACAAATTGTGCTGACAAAACTGGAATTCTACCTGCAGAAAGCTGAAGCAAGATTCACATCTCACACCATACACAAAAGTTAACTCATGGTGGATCAGAGACCTAGGGTTAAAACCCAAAACCGTAAGTATCATAAAAGAACTACACTTAGAAGGCCTAGTCTATGCTATAAATAGGCTGGCAAATACAACCAGTAGAAGATAACATGGATAAACTGGACCTGGACCCTTCTAAAGGTTAAGTCCCTGTGTGCATCTTGTCATTTTCCAGTTGGGTGAAAAGAAAGCCTACTGATTGGGATAAAACATTTGGCAATGTAATCAGACAAGGTTCTCATAAGGAAACTTTACAGTACTAAGGGCCTCCATACAAAAAGACTGATAATCCAATTGCCAAATGGGAGGAAGGGGGAAGTGGAAAGACTTTTCACAGAGGAAAATATTCATATATACGGCCAACAAACACATAGAGAAATAAATGTTCAAAATCACTGGCAATAAGAAAGGTGCAAATCAAAACCATCCCAGTAGCAGTGACAACGTTTAATAAGATAGCAGGTAGTAAGAATTCTCATACTCTGTTGGTAGAATTCTAAAGTGTTATAACCACTCTGGAAGGCAGTTTGTCATTTCCTCAAAAAGCTGAATATAGAAATGCCATATTACTCAGCTATCCCAAGCTAGGAATATACCCCAAGGAAAATAAAACTGAGATGCAACTGGAGATTTGTACACTGATATTCATGTCAGTGTTATTCACAATAACAAATTGGAAACAGCACAGATGTCTATCTACAAATGAATGGTTTGGGAAATTGGGGTATATTCACACAGTGGAATACTATGCAGCACTAAGGAGAAATGATTTTGAAAAATATTTATAGCATAGGAGCAGTTAGAGAGCATTATACTGAGTGAACTAAGACAGTCTCATAAGGAAACATACTGCATAAGATCATTATAGAGGGATAACTGGTAAAGTATATACCAAAGTCAAAAGGGGGAAGGGGAAGGACAGGAACTGAGGATGGGCAGGGTAAATATGGTAGGCAGAAGGTGAGGGTGAAGGAATTAGGAAAGATCCAGTGGGGACCTGAAAAGACAGGGTAATAGTGGATATAGATAAATAGTGATTATTTTTATGAAACAATATGTATATGAATTCTGTATGCAAACCAATATAAAATAAAAATAAGTTTAAGGACTTAATTATTTCACACAAAGGAGAATTGTGTTTAAACAAATCTGCCACTCCCTGACAGTATTTTGCAAACATTTTTGAAAAAGGAATGCATTTTTTAAATTAATTTTTTCAATTTCCTCAATGGAAGATAGTTAGTTATAGGAGCTCTGGTGGTCTCCATATTGACCCTGAGCAGCCTTTCAAAACCAGGGCCTAGTTTCAAAATGCTCTGTGGAAGACCAGATAGGGAGTTTTGATGTGGAAAGTTATCTTCTTTCTGAAAAACAGAATAAGAATCATCTGGGATTCTTGTTTAACATGCAGATTCTTGGTTCTGAGCTTGGAGAGTCTTAGCCTGGAAATCTTGAGTTGGGCCTTGGAATCTATTACCACAAACATCCAAATGGTTCAGAACTGCCTGAGTGCCCTTTCAGTGGCATCAGCTTGGTCCCAGTTTGTTTTAGGAAGAATACTAAGTTTAGAGCTATTGCATACCATTATAAAAGTTTCTGCTTGATAAGGGAAGCAGTGTGTTAAGCTTCTCTCCCATCATCTCTCCATTTAATTCTTTATTCCTGTTTCCAGAGTGCTGCAGACCTGGCTTGACTCATAGTTTCTTGGGTCTGTGACACATGAGCTGCTATTAATCCTGACCCACACTCTGCAGGTGTTTACAAAACCCCTTCCTTCTCCCAACCCTTCATCACTTTGCCTGCTTATTTGTTTATTTAATGAACCAAATATCATTAGCGCTACTCTTCTCCAACAGATAAATCCAAAAGTAGGAGTTAAACAAGGTTTGTAAATAAATGTAACACTGGTTTTTAAAAAAATCTATAAAATGATACTTTAAGAGACAATATGTGGAAGAACACGCCATGCTCGTGGCTTGTAAGACAAAGTTGGGAAGATATCGATACTACCAGAAGTAAACTACAGTAAATAATCACCAGATGAGCAAATCACTACTGAAGAAGAAAACAAAATAGGAAGCTTACACTTCCTGATCTCAAAACCTACTATACAACCACAGTAATCAAAACATGTCCTGCTAGTACAGTGACAGATTCATAGACCAATAGAATAGAATTGAGAACCTAGGAGTAAATCTATTCACCTCTGGACAGCTGATCTTTGAAATAGAGATGAAATCCATTAAGGGGGAAAAAGATAACCTCTTTAACAAGTGGTACTGGCAAAACTGGCTATCTGCTTAGGGAAATTTAAATACAATCCATATCTCACCCTGTAAATGAATAGTTGAGTTCATGACAGATCAAGAACTTTGGTGTAAAACCTGAAACTAAAAAGATCATCAAAGAGAAAAAATGTGGACAAACCTAGGAGCCCTAAAATGGGCATAAATAGACTATCAAGTATAACCCAAACTATAAGCCTACCTAACCATATGTCTATAGTATGCGAGACCTACTTTCACCATCCTTGCCTATAAGGGAAACCCTGGTTGCACATTTTCCAAGAAAGGCTTGATCTGGTTGTTTTTTAGGTGGTTTTGTTTTGTTTCATTTTGTGTTGGGTTTTTTGTAGTCTCACAATCTACAGTTACTTGAAAATAGATTTACAATAGCCTTTCCTTTGATTTCAAAGATAAGTTTTGCAAGCTTTTTTATAAAGCACATTGAATAACTTTTAAAACTAGTGTGAATAAAAATACAGAGCAGCTGTATTACCAATTGTCTATTTACTGACATCCTGCTGTTTTAAGATTTAGGAGTATTTCTTCCCTATGTGATTAGTACACTGGCAATAAGAAGTCATGTTGGATTGACAACCAAAGCTGTGTTTCCTAAATACAGATTCAGTTTGAGTTTTAATAATTCAATTGAATTAGATTTCAGTATTAAAAGAAAGTTATTGGTTGAAGTTATGGGTTTTAGTCACATTCTTGTCCTTGTCACTGCTAGGGCCTTGTGCATAGTTTATGTCTCAGTCACTGCAGTTGTCTTTTACAAATACAGTGCACTTAAGTCAGGTAATGTAGAAACACAAAATAAGCTCCTCTTAACCTCTCCATGAATCTAAGGGAGCTCTAGGCATGTTGGGTACCATCGAGTTGGAACCACCCCATAGTAGACCCTCTCCAGGCAGGTTTTCAGAGGCAGGAAATTGCAGAGGAGGAGATTGCCCATCTTTCTCTCACAGCTGGTGAATTCAAGCTTCCCACATTTGTGTTAGCAGCACAATTCCTTACCACTGAGCTACCAGAGCTCCCTAGGAAATTACACCCACCGACCCATAGTTCATACTTCTCTGGCCTTTGAAATCCCTGCTGCTTCTGCTGGGAGAAAGATAGGCAGTCTCCTTCTGTGCAGTTTACAGTCTCTGAAACCTAGTGGAGGGTCAGCTATTAGTACCACCCCGATGGCCACGAGTGAGAGATTTCTCCATGACACTACTCTCTCCTATTCTTGCATTATCTTACCATTTTTAGCAGCCTCATCTAAGAATTAAGTAGTACCTGTACACTATTTTCTAAACAGTGTGACAGTTGTTGGAAAGCTAATTCTTGGTTTCGTAATTTCACCTGCCCTGTTAGAAATGTTTGGCAGATTCTACCTGTACTATTAGGGCTTTACAAAGACAGTGGGTTGTCCCAAAAGCACCTAACCTCTCTGTGATGAAGACTTGTGCTGTTTCCTAATTGCTGATTCTGCTCTCATTTTTACATGTGTGTGTTTATGTGTTTCAGGAAAAAAGTGCCAGTTCAAATGTAAGACTTAAAACTAATAAAGAGATCCCGGGATTAGTTCATCAACCCAGAGCAAAGTAAGTTCTAGATTTTATTTCCCTTATGCTATTTTCTAAGACAAAAAATGCTTTCAGAATGAGTTCTGGTTTGCCTAGCATGTATTAAGATTTAATATGAAATTTTAGTGATTGAGATGCGGTTTTACACACTGGAAAAATCTGGAAAGTCCCCTAAGCAGACATGCTCTGATACCTGACAAAGCTCCTAATTGAATTGTAGATCAATTAGAAGAAAATGCAAGGAGGATGTCTTTAAGACCTTGAGGTAGGAACGAATTTTTGTTATAATGAGTAAACAAAACTGGCATATTCTTAAGATGAGACAGCTCTACATTGGTAAAAATGAATGACAGCTACACAGACCAAATAGGTGAATTTATTAAATGCAGAGTTGCAACAGTCAAGTCAGCTGCAGGACACAGCTACCCTTCCTTCCATTCATGTCAAACTACAAAAGGCAGAACAATGCATTCTCTTCTGTATTGTGTATATGAGAAGGCAGTAAAGAAAAGCAAGGAAATTAAAAATTATTATATTCAGAATAGTAGTGCTCTCTGACAAGAGGAAAGACAATGGGTTCAGAGACTCTGTTCTTAAGCTGGTGGTGAGTACATGGGTTTTCCTTTAATTATTATTGTTATTATTATTATGCAAAAATGTAGAAATAACATTTTCTTTCTACATGTTATTAAAAATAAAAAAATACAATTGAAGCCTAAAATAGCAATCAAATCTTGTAGTGAAGAGCTATATATAGTTTCCTAGGTTGTGCTGAAACTAAATCTTCTCTTTCTCTCGCTCTCTCATCGAGTCAGAACTGACTCGTGGCTGTCCCTTCAGTGGGTTTTCAGAAGGTATAAATCACACAGGAGGAGATTGCTCCCTCAGAGCATCAAGAGGATTTGAACTTCTTGGCTTTGGATTGGCAGCACAACTCCTTACAATTAGGCCACCATAGTACTCTGACTCGATCTTGGCAATGGTGAAATGTATTTTGCATGACTTTGAGGCAATCCTCCCTTTCTTCCAAGAAGGAAGGTATTATCTCAAAGACTGAGAACCTCCAGTATGTTATTTCACCTCTAGATAGATGAATTGAATTCCCTGAGAATACTTGTAACACTGGTAAATTGAACACAGTCACCTCCACTCCAAAATAAATTTTATGGTTGCATGTATGTAAGAGGGAGCTCTGGTGTCCTACTGAGTAAGAAGTGCACTACCAACACAAAGGCAGGTAGTTTAAATCCACAAGCTGCTCCACAGGAGAAAGATGACCAGGTAGTGATTTACAACTTCTGAAAATCTGTTAATCGTTCAGCTATAAGTCACTTCCAACTGGATGACAATGTGTGTGTGTGTGTGAGAGAGAGAGAGAGAAGAGAGATGTAATAGTGAAAATAATTAAATGTCGCACCACTGACATAAAGGTTGATGGTTCACACCACCCAAGAGACTCCTTGGAAGAAAAGCCTGGCAGACTGCTTCCAAAAGAGTGAAGTTCTGCTGTGGCACACATGTGGTCTCCAGGAGTAAGAACTGACCCAATACCAGCTAACAACAACATGTCATAATCGTACTCAGGAAAAGTAGTGTTACCTCTGGGTTCTTCCCAGAAAATTGAAAGGGAAATAATTTTATTCATAATCACTTTAGCCTGGCTGTGAAGTTGCTTACAGCCATCACTATCATGATAGAGGTATCATTATTTAATTGTTACTTAAAAAAACAAACTAGACGTTTACAAATTGACTTATCATTTATGATGTTAGTGACTTGTCACACCATTTTTTCATCCTCAGGTTCATGTGTTACCCATCTTCTTAGTAAGGAGCGCTGCAGGGGTAAAGTGTAGCATGTTAGGCTGTGAACTGCAATGTAAGCGGCTCAGATCCACCAGTTGATGTGTGGAAGAAAGCTGAGAAGTCTCGTCCCATCAGTATTTATATCCTGGAAAGCCCATTGGAGGGCCAGCAGGAGTCGGGATCAGCTCAACAGCTGTGGAGTTACCTTCTCACTAGCCTTCACTGCCCATCACCTCTGTCTACACTAACTCTGTCTGCCTTTGGGGAAAGCAGATAGATATCTGATAGCTCAGCCAAACCATCTTTGCATCCAAGTCACTTGATATGTGCTATTTATTTGCTTCCCTTCTCTAAGTTATACAGAGAGCCTACATTTGGAAAGATTTCTTTTGTTTCTTTAGTGTGATCACTTACTTGACCCTTTCATGGTCCATGTGGCATATAGAGCCTACCTCCATTTTCTGCCTCTAAGATTTAGTGGGAAGTTGCTATCCTACTTTCTGAGTCTGCTGCTATCTGTTTGAGACCTCTATAATTGAGAGAATCTGAAGAAATGGGCCTTCCCTCACCAAGCCCAACATCAGAGACCTCCTTCCCCTCACCCCAGGAAGTATGTGTCCCATTAATTGCATCAAAATTCATATTTTTCATGTATTTTCAAATTAAGTTTTTCTTCATTCCATTCAAAAGGTCTTCTATTACTGCAAGCATAGAGTGTCAACAAAAAAATTCAAAACAAAATAATTTGATCTTGAAAGGGTTAATTTTGACATTCTGAAACAGCATGCTTCTCAAACTAGTGTGGGCTGAAACTTTTAGAGAAGTTTATATAAACGGCTCATGTGTTTACAATAAAATTATAAAGAAAATCTAATGCTTTGCACAGAGCTCTGTGTCTGTGAGAGAGAAACTGTGTCTCAGGATATTGGATGCCTGAAATTCAACTGAAAAATCTTTGTGATGAGCAGAATCACAAAGACTTACTTTTCTTACTTGTTGACCTATGAGATCACGAAACCGTCATTCACTATGTAGTTAAATGAAATAAGAGCAAGAATTCTCCCCCCCGCCCCAGGAGTGCCATATAAAGGCAGACGGTTCCCACAACTTTGTTTTATGGAATGCATAGAAGAACCACATTTAAATTAGCAAGTAACCCTACTATCTTTGAGCTTCCATTTTCTCAGTAAATCCAAATCCAACCCACTGTTGTGCTGTTTGTTGATTCCAGCTCAGGGTGACTCTCCCTCAGGTGTCCAGGGCTGTGATCTTAACCAGAAGGTATTGCCTCTTCCTTCTGCCACAGAGCTGCTAGTCGGTTGGAAGTGCTGACTCTTCAGATAGCAGCTCAACACTGAACCTACTCCACAACCAGGTCTCTTTCAACAGAGTGAAACGTTAGTCAGAACCTCCTCTTGTTGGACTAGGGATTAAATGAAACAATGCATGCCTGGCCCTTAGTAAAAGCTGCTTAATAACAATGAGAAACAACCCAGATATTCTTTACTGGGTGTATGAGCTGCACTAAATTCATGCAAGGCAGTCTTTGCCAGCAATTGAAACAAATGTGCTAGAGCAGTGGCCAGCACTCAGTGGACTGGAGCAATTTCATTTTAAAAGAAAAGTGGAAATATGGACACGGGCTGGAGGAGAAAGCTAAGTTGTTGGCATGTGCTGTTGGTGTGTGTGTGATGGGGACTCATAGCAATTAGGACAGAGTAGAACTGCCTCGTAAGGGTTTCTTAAATTATAATCTTTAGAGGAGCATATTACTATATCTTTTCTCCCATAGAACCACTGGCTGGGTTCAAGCTACCAACCTTTTTGTTAGTAGCCAAGCATTAACCAGCAGGTCTCCTTGGAGGATCAGTTGTTGGTGTCATTGTGTGTCCTCAAGGTGACTATAACAGCAACACTCTCAACAACAGATGGGCACCTGCCCTTTCCTGCACTATCCTCACCACTGCTGCTGGGCTTGAACTCAGGGCTACTTAGGGTTTTAAATTAGTTACTGGTTATTATCAAGGTTCTAGCTTTTGTTTCTGATTTTGCATTCATGGATGCTTTTAATAGTATAGCAATAGTATTGAAAAAACTAATAGCTAGTTAATTGACTAAAGAAAAGTGAGCCGTGTACTGATGGAAATATGTCATGAAATGTGAATTAGGATTAACCTACTCTGCTAAGGTTCAGATGAAAATGAAAGATTGATGATCATGAAATTACTGCACTGAGGACAGATTTTACAGAAACCCACTAGGTGATTGTATTTCCTTTCTACAGATAAGATATTCTGGAATCAGGACCTTGTTTTCTCATACTTTGATGGCGTAGGTATTTATTTGGAAACATTGAAAAATTAAAGCCATTTGTCTTCTAGCTCGAAAGCACGTTGTGCCCCTCATTTGTTAGTGTGACTGCCCTGCACTAAGATCCCACAGAGGCCTCATCCTTAATCCCAGGAAGCTGAAAAGTCACTGCATGAAGGGCCTGGACTCAGCAGGGTTGATTCACAAGAGCTTTGTGAGCAGTAATTCCCAAACCCACTGCCATCAGTGAATGCCAGAGTTGAATTGCCCCTTAGAGTTTCCAAAACCGTAACTCTTTAGAGGAGTACAAGGCCACCTCTTTCTTCTGTGGAGCGACTTGGTTAGTTAGATTGAACTGCCAACCTTTGGTTAGATTGAACTGCCAACCTTTGGTTAGATTGAACTGCCAACCTTTGGTTAGCTACCAGGCTTGTGGTTTCTTTTCTTGACTTCTCAAAGGCCCTATTTTCCTTTAATAAAAACAGAAATTACCAAATTGTCTGAGCTTTTTAACTTCAATCAGTTACCAAGAGACACTGGTATCAACATACAGAATTTTCAAGAACTTTTCTGACATGTTGAATATTAACATTGAGTACTTATACTCTACAAACTAAGTCAGAAACAATCTCTTTCTCCCTTTTCTACTGTCTTGAAGAAGGATAGAAAATCCAGCATTCCTTTCCTTCTCCTCTCTTGTCACTCAGAATCAGCAAATAGTGAGTTAGGAAGGATTTGGGAACCAAGTTGTTGCTGAGGGACTGCTTCTCATATCCCAGTTGGTACTTTTTAAAAAAAAATAATTATAATTTTAATTATGTATATATTTATCTGTAATACAAACAACAGATACTAAAACAAATATTTGTGATACTGACTTAGAAATACTAAAATAACAATATT